ATGTAGCAACCACGGACTTATAACAACTAAATTAAAGTTAAATTAATTTAAGTACTTTAACGTTTTTAATTAATTACGAGTAAAATTACGTCGTCTAAGGAACGTTTTTTCTTGAAATTTTAAACAACATTTTTATTAGATACGAGTATAACTATTTATTATAAGATTTTTTAATTTTACGGTTTTTGGTGTAGTAATCAAATTAATGGTACTTTGATAATTATTATTGAACCGATATTTAGTTGAAGTTAAATATGCAGCTAAAACCGAACTAAAGATTTTAAAATTAGTCGTGTAACTTGTACGAAACGTATTTCAATTTTAGCTTTGCTCTGCGGATTTAATAAGTGGAAACATATTTTTATGGTAAATAGAGGGTGCGCCAGAACTCGCGATCCAGTGAAAAATGAAATCTATTTATAATAATTTCGAGTTTATGAAGGTTAAATTTTGAGCTTTGACTTTAAATTTTTTTATTGGAAAAATAATTTACCAAGTTTTTTTACTACAGACTATTAGAAGAATAAACAAGGAAACTGTATCCTAACTTGTAACTCTGTTTAATGTTATTTGTGGCTTTTATTGACAAATTTTTTGTACTTTTGCCATATAATTATAAAAGAACATATACAAGATCATCAGTATCATTAAATAGACATAAAAAATGTCAAATGCCAAAAACTTCTTCTTGGATCTTCTTGGTATGGAAACGATGAACAAAAACACGATTAGCCCATCACACCAAACTTTTATTTAAAACACTACGTGTTTCAACCACAAAGTGGTTATCCTTAGGTGAGAATAAAACACTTTTATTCTCACCTGAGGATGGCCACTTTGTGGTCATATTTTTTTGACAGATAGAATTTTTTAAACATTTTTTCTATACTTTTGGTATCTTATCTTACTTGAAATTTTTCTCTGGGGCGCGAGTTCTAACACATCCTGTATGTACATACTTGTGGTCTGCTTTTCGCAAAAATAAATACGTCATTATTGCTGAAATTTATGATACCGGAATTTTTATTTGAAAACAGGATACTGTAAGTGAGTTATTGCAAAGCAATAAATGTGCATGAAACTATCAAAAAGTCGAATTTAACAGAATTTTTATAATTACTGGAATAAAACTTAACTTTTTAAAGCTTTACCTACTTATTTAAAAAATGAAAATGAAATACCTATTTCTCTATTTAACTTCTACTACTTGTAGAAGATTTAGTCTTTTATTTTTGTAGAATTAACTTTTTATATAAATTAACTTACTATAATAATCAAAAATAGACTACATACCTATACAATAAATAAATAGTTTCCAGATAAAAAAAAGCTGACAAAAAAACTTAGAAAATGATTAAATTTTAATGATTTGTTATTGTAATTACACAATATGAGCAACAGGTTGCTGTTTGATTTAACTTAATATCGTTAATCAATTGATATAATAATAATTAATATAATCGTTCTGATTTAGCCAGGACCTGTTTAGCTTTTATTATCTTGTCTTGTTTTACGTTTGGGTCCTGATTTGTCCCTATTTAAGGACTAACACACCTAAGTGTACGGTTTTTTTTGACTTGCAGCGAAACCAAAGTGTCTTTCAAGTTAAAGTTTTTTTGTCGTCATTTCATTTGTGAAAAAACTTAACCAAAAGCAGAAATACCTACTTAAAATCTTTTTTCAAATGTTCGCAGAGAATGAAAAAACTCTCAAAGCCATTTATACGGAAAAAAATATATAATTAACACAAAACAATAAATTAATATGTTATTTATTAGATTAGGGTTCAAAAATTGTTTTTGGTTTTTCAATATTATATTTAAATTTTTATACAGATACATTAGCAAGACATATTTTTTTGTGTACTGGCATAAATCTATTATAATTATTTTATTAATGTCCTGGTTTTGAATTTTCTAAGGTTGGTCACTTTAAGTTAATAATATAAAATACAAATTGTGTAAAATTATAGGCAACTTTTTATACTGTTCAGACTTATTGGTTGTGAGAAAACACACCAAAAACCTTGGTTTTAATCTAATGTGTCACAACATTGCACATAGACAATTACACACAAGGGCTAGGCCAATACAGAGGGTACTATTATTACGACTCCAACCACACCCAAAATGACAAAAATTGTGAAAGAAAGTTAAGTTAAATTACAAGAAAAGTAAATATAAAAATTAAATTACGGCTTTTCCAAAGTATGCAAATAAAAATTCTTGCGGCGGTATTAAGTTTGCAAGAAGAATAACAAATTTCAGTATATTTTTTTAACTGCTAAAAAACCACAATTTTGAAAGAAATAAAGCTGTGTGTGTTTGTGTTTGAATAAGTTAAAAGAGTCTTATTTAACTTTATAATTAATAATTGTTTTATTACGTATCCAATAAATGGAACTTTTGTTTTCTTTGTTTTATTAAACATATTAAATTAAATTTCCATTATTTGTAAAGAAAATAATGAGTTACAAATTTATTAATGAATCGTTACACACATAGAAAACTTTTTCAGTTGTTAAGTAGAATTTATTGCTGAACAGCTGCGAATGACACTAAACGAGAATAATATCTTACGTGACCTATTTTACATACAAAATAAATATGTTTAAAAAACACTCTGCAATGAATAAATTTGTTTTGTTGTAAATAGTTGTGCAAATTTTGCAAAGTTTGTCAATTTAAATTCAGACATAGGTTAAGCTTTGATGGAAAAAAGGCTTTCTTCTTTTAATTGTAAAGTCTAAGTGAAGTAGACACTAAATGATTGTTAAAATACAGAATCAAGTATTTGTAGTGTACTTGTATGTCAGGTAAATAATACATACCTTTTATGGACAATCAATGAATTTCATATAATATCGTTCTGCACTTCTCACCTTGAGATAGGGTCTAAATTATTAAAAGTTAAACGACTTTTTTCACTCATCTAAATTACGATTATGTGCTTTTTTACTTTCTTTGACCGAAAACATCTTAAAAAAAGAATATGGAGGAAATGAGATTTTGTGATTACTTACAAATTTGCATAAAAGCAAATGTCAAATATTGTATAGTTAAAAACGTCTTTTTAAAATACACGTTGTAAACTTTGGTTTTGGGCTTACACTTTGTAGGTCCTGTCGCAATTTCCGACCTTTTATGAGGAGTTTTTATATTAAATTTTTATTTTTTGTCATTTTTTTAGAGATGAATACTTTGTCATATTTATAAAACTTTTTGTTGGAAATTTTAATAAGCCATTGATTTTAAACGTCCTAAAAATGTGTTTTATTGAAATATTTTTTAGATAAACTTTTTAATTAACGCATTTTATATTGCTTGGGTTTTGAATTTACCTTCAAGTGTTAAATTTTGTTTTCAACTTTACAACTTGATACTGAAACAATTTCAGCATTATTTTGTTTGGTTTTGAGGTAAGTTTGTAGCTGGAAATCGGAGGCCTCCAAACGATCACCTGAGCTTTACTGCCTACTTTGAGTAATATTATGTGCCATGTCTTTGAACGAAAATAACACCTCGTCGAGGACAAGCAATTGGCAATTTTGAGCATAACGTGAAAAATTGCTTTGAGTTTAAGGGAAATTTTATCAAACGTTTGAAATCGTTTAAAGTGATTTTTTTTGTAAATAAGGTTTCTGGAAAACACTTTTATTGTTATTGAAACAATCAATAACACTGGGGAACACTCTAGGAGATCTTTATCGCTCATTAGAAGAAAAATTTAATGACTATTAATAATCATTACGCAACGTTGTAATTTATTATAGCCATTTACTGATCTTACTTATGCTAGAGTAGAGGCTATTTTTTGGCCAAAATGTAATTTGTTGAAGCTTAATTTCTCAGCAGCTGACACCAAATGATTTTTAGAAAGATGTTTTTAATTTAAGTTTTAACTTTCCACACTTTGTAGCAATTGACATAGCTTAATCAAACTTTAAAACTATGCAATTCTTTGTTTTAAAGTTAAAGTAGTTTTACCCGGCGCATCCACCAAATTTGACATTTTTTTATTTTATTTTTTTGATAAAAAATAAAAAATTGCAAATGTAAGTGGCATACTTTTTTACACAAAAAATTGGTTAGAATCGTCCATAAAAATTGTTGTAAAATCTGTTAGGTACTCAAATATATTACTCTGGATTACCTACATACCTACAGGGTGCGCCACAGAAAAATTTCAAGTAAGATAAGTTACCATGGAAGAAATGTTTAAAAAAATTTGTTTGTCAAAAAATTTTGACATTTATTTTTTGACATTTGTCATTTTTGTGTCTATTTAATGATACTGATGATTTTGTATTCAGTAAAGGTACAAAAATTTTGCCAATAAAACCACAAATAACATTGAGCAGAGTTACAATTTAGGATACAGCTTCCTTGTTTTCCTCTTCTAATAGCTTGTTGCAAAAAACTTGTAAAATTATTTTTCCAATAGAAATAAATAGAGTCAAAGTGCAAAATTTAAACTGTCATAACTTCGAAATTTTCATAGATACAATTTTTTAACATTTTTCCATGTTCCTTGTATCTTACCTTACATGGCGTTTCTCTGGGGCGCGAGTTCTGGCACTCCCTGTATATTTTTTCTACGATTGCAATTCAGCACCTGAAGCAGTTATATTATTACATCAAAGTTTCACCTACCTTTATTTAAATAAGAAAATGAAAATCTAACGCAAATCAAACATTTACTTTAAATTTCCTTTTTTATTCTACCGGATGTTCAGTGAAATACTGTCAGTGGATGGTACGTTTTAGAATGAGATAAATCAATAAAAAATATTTATATATTTTTCCTTAAGTGTACAAAAATTTGTTGTGTTGTCGTGAAAGCACTTATAAATCTTGTCTTTATTGCTATCTGTAAAGTCATAAACACGCAATGCTGCACCTAAATGTAGATAATTTACTGTCACTGTTTCGGAATTATTGTTGTATAGATTACGTCCAAACTTGTTTCAAGTTAAAGTAAAAACTTTAATTTCTTTTCAGTTGCTGTCGTGGTGGCGTTCTTTATCTGTTGGGCTCCTTTCCATGCCCAGAGGTTATACAGTCTCTACTCGATGAAGTTTGACGAATTAAACCATTCCGTCTATTTGAAGATATACGAAATTGTCACATACATTAGCGGGATTCTGTACTATATGTCTGCGACGATAAATCCAATATTGTACAACATCATGTCTGTAAAGTTTCGTGAGGCTTTTAAGGTAAGTTTTATTGCCTAAATGGATTACGGAAAAGAGTTGCACTAAAGTTTTAGGCTTAGTAGAAAAATATTAGGCTTTGTTTTGTTTCAAAGAACGAAAATTACTACGTATTACTACAAAATAAAATTGGTTTCTAATTAAAAATTGAATTTAAATTGAATATAAATTTTACTTTGCAATTAATTCGAAGTTTAGAAATCTAAATCACAACTTATTAATACAAATTAATATTTAATTTATTTTTAACAAAACGGTCTTAAATGCTATAATAATGTATGTGTAATGTATACACTGTGTCAATTTTAAAACTTGCAATCGGCAATTTCTCTCAACTGAAAAAGTTATTAATAATCACTCAAAACTATTTTAGTGATTCCTAGGGGGAATTAAAATGACATGATAAGTGACACACCTCCACCCACCCTTGAATATAGTAAAAAAATGAAAATTTAACGTCTTCGTTTTTGAATAATTGGAAAAATAACTTTACCAAATAGGCTGTTGTATGACATTTTTGAAAAGCGCTTGTTATGGGCTTTCCAACGATATATAGCAAGTAGGGTCGTGCTATTTAAAATTTTCAACTTAAGGTGGCTGTGGCTTGAAGGGTGGGTGGAGGACCGTCCCTTACCATGCCATTTTGATTCCCCCTAAAAACCACCGAAACGGTTTCGAGTGATTCTCAATAACTTTTTTAGTTCTAGAGATATTGGCGATTGCAAGTTTTCAAATTGACACCCTGTATGTAATATCTAACTAATATATTATTAAATTTTTGAAAAATTACAAAAGAAAATTGGGGCTAGATTTTGCAAATTTCGTTTGCAAAAACCATAGTATCGGACAGGGCTACCAACTCACCAAATATTATATGACTAAATAATGATTAATTATCTTTTTCTAAATAATTTTCAGTTATTCGTTACAAAAAACCTTGTACCTAACTCTATCGGAAAGAATTTTCCCACACTCACTTCTTGCGGTCGTGCTGCAAAGTGCTCATGCGGGGAAATTATTTTTCTTGTTAGGTAAATAACTATTTCATAATTATTTAGTAAAGGTACAAAAACTTTGCTAATAAAAGCCACAAATAACGTTAAAAATAGTTAAAATTCAAGAAACAAGTTCTTTGTGACCTTTTCTAATAGCCTGCAGCAAAAAATATGTAAAGATATTTTTCCAGTTAAAATAAATTGGGTCGAAGTGCAAAATTTTGAAACCTTTATAAACAGAATTTTTTTAACATTTTTTTCATGTTTCTAGTATATTATTTTACCTGGCATTTTTCTCTGTAACGCGAGTTTTGAAACATCTTGTATTTTTAAATATACATTGTTAGGTACAATTTCTAAATTATTTAAAAATATTTTTTGGCCTTGACAATTGCACTTGTAACATTTTTGACAACTACGAGTATCTGATTTTTACAAGGCATTTGTAAAGTTTTGCACACGCAGTGCTGTAAAATAACTAAAATTTCAGGCTTTCAGGAACTTAACAAAAAGATGCTTTATGATAAATAAAGTTCATAAATGAACCCAATATTTTTTTTATTCCTTTTGAGTGAAATAATGTTCACTTTAAAGGAGAAAATTTTTATTTTCTCTTTTGAATGGTCATTTTCACTTTCAAAATGGAAACTTTCCAACCCTGATTCCCAGCCAATGTAGAATTTAATCAATGCCTACTCTATTATTATTTTTTGATCGCGAGTATTCATTCTGAAATAATTAACGAACGTCTCTGGAAAAGGTGACAATTTCAAATAAATTTTCTGACCTTTAAACGTCTGTTTTGTTTTCGCCATCAAATATGAAAATGTCTGTAACTATTGGTATTAATTAATCTAAAGTAACACTATTTAATTTTAAAATAATGAGCTAAATTATACATAATATCAATGAGTTTGTCAAAGCATTGAACAATTATTTTTTCCGAAAGCATGTTTTTCGTAAATAACTGATATTTAAAGATGTTTGTTCCAATTATTTCATGCTTAATTCTAAAAGACTAAATACCTCAAATGAAGTCTTAAAACACATATTAATTCCTTTAGCAGAAGGTCAATAAAACAAATATTTTGTTGTTAATGAAATACAAAACAAATTAAGCTTTTAAAAGAATTTGTGGAAACACAGGAATAATATTTAATCAAGTCTAATTGTGTTTGCCGATATTGGAATTGGGCTTCCATGGATGACAACAAGCAACTAGGCATTTGTTAGGTCATAAATTTTGAATTGCAATTTAAGAGAAATTTGCAACAAATCAAATACTCATTGTGGGTGCTTTTGTTAGTTTTTGTTTGTCATTTCGATAAACTAAAAGCTATCACAACAAATCGATTTGTATTGAAAAATGTTATCTCGTCTTTTTAGAAACTGAATGGTCCAATAGGAATATATACTACCTGTTTAGCTGACACTTGAATTATAGTTGGACTAGAAAAGCTGTCAGACGAGCTTTTTCCAGAGTTTTGCATAACCATAACATTGAAAAGTTAGCAAATATTGGCCCACATATTTTTTGATCAGAGATTTACGAATTTTTGTTGACAGAAATTACATTACATTTTTATTTTTACTGTAGATTTTAGGCATAATAACTTAAAGCGTTTCTAGTCTATATTTCTTAGGAAACATTCTCGCGGTGCTGCTGTTTCCACCAGTTCAAAGCCAGTCGACCTCAAAGATCCTACTCAGTTCTCTCTCGGTCCGCTCAACGAGGCCCTGATTCTACAGACTCTGGGAGGGACGACCCTAGTTTACAGTCACACTCCTCCGTTACCCAAAAAACATCCTTAGAATCTTACAACGGACTTGTGCAATCTGGATTGAGAAGGTTGGTATGTTTTATGTTTTTATATTTCTAGTATTATTTTTTTGAATAACTTTTTTACTAAGATTTTATCTTACAGGTTGAATTTTTGAGCTACCTTAGACCATTGTTTTCGGTGATAGAAATCAAATATTATTCACAAGTGAGATAAAGTACTCACAAGTGAGTAAATTTGACTATTATATTATATTTACTATAGCTTGCACCCGTGACTTCGTTCACGAAGATTTTCGATATAAAGTTTTCTTAATTTCAAATGTGGAATGTAAAGTTAGTCTGTTTATCTATTTTTTTCTTGATTCATCAACTCAAAACAATGCGGGAGTAGAGGGCCGATTTTTAAGAAAATGATGAAAGCATGTTACAAACGCTTACAGCCCGTTTCACTTCGTTGAATTTTTGACTACACCCTCAAAAGTCAAAATTTTAGATTTTATGTTTATAATTTCGTTTAAATATTTGCACCCTATTTCATCCCGTTATAGGTTGTTTTTTGAAAAGTGCTTGATTAGTGCACTTCACTCTCTAAGAATTATATTTTCCAAATTTCATCTTCGTTTAAACGTGTACACCTCATTTCACCCCCTTGGAAACTGATTTTTAAAAATCTCGTCTTAGTGCAGCTTTACAACCGACAAAGAACATATCTTCCAAATTTTATTTTCTATCTTTGTTTAAGTGTTGACAACCCATATAAATATATTTTCAAAAAAAACCTTCCTTAGCGAACCTTTACACACTCTAAGGAACATTTCTTCCAAATTTCATGTTTCTCTCTTCGTTTAAATATTTACACCCCATTTCACTCCCGTAAAAATTGATTTTCAAAAAATCCTTTCTTAGCTCACCTGTACACCCTCTAAAAAACATATCTTCTAAATTTCATGTTTCTATATTCATTTAAACGTATACACCCCGTTTTACTCCCTTTATTAAAGGAGCATACTTATTACTTTTTTAAATTCTCGTCTTAGTGCACCTTCACAACCGCTAAGGAACAAAATTTCCAAAGTTTTTTGTTTCTGCCTTCGTTTAAAAGTTTACACCCCACTTCATCCTCTGAGTGATTGATTTTTGAAAAATCCTTTGTTAATTTTCACGGCACTCTTATATATTCCTATATAAATAATAATAATAATAATAATAAGAAAAGTGGAATAAATAAACAATGTAGAATAAAAATCAGATAAACAATTTTTTATGTATGTAAAAAGCGAAGTGTGCAACACCACGTCGCTCGCACAAATAATCAAACAGCAAATAAGCGCAGAAATTGACAACTCCTTCCTTATCTCATGGATGCGCACATGCACAGCGAGAAACAACCGAGAATTATCGAAGGCAAACGATAAACTTAAAACCCTATTTCACCCCTTTAGAAAACGATTTTCAAAAAATCCCTTCTTAGCTAACCTCTACACCCTCTGTCATTCAGTCATGGAACTTTTTTATATAAATATATAGATTATATTTCTATAGGTGAATATTTTACTTGAATGAAACTTCATGTTTTGGATAGTTGCACCTGTAAGATAAAACGTCGTATATCACACGTGATCGAAATGCCATTATGAAACTCGTGAGAGGTGTCAAAATTTTCACTCGCGTATAATGATGCAATTCTATCACTTATACTGTCCTATTGTTCAAAATCCAGCAATTTTAACACACTTTTAGTAATAAAAATACAATAAAAATTTAGGCCTTTACCACAAAAATTCAGTTTCTTATCTGTATCTCTATGCGAAATATTAATTGAAACTATTTTTAATACACTGGCCGCCGGACAACTAAAATTTTGCGATTTTTCACATTGCTATTCTCCGTCGGATTTCGCCGAATTTTTGTTTGGCTTAAAAAAACTTTGTAGATCATTGTAATTTAATTCAATAACATTTCTACAGTTTTGATTTCTAAATGTGACGAAGGCACTGTTTTTTTACTTATTTTTATACTGAGCTGTGATGTGCGCCAAAGACAAACTTAAATTTTTACTGATTTTTTTATTGTCCATTATTTTCTGAATTATATACTACATATTCTATAATTTTAATTTTTGAGACATGAGAGATATAAACTTTTAAAAAAGCATTATATTTTTAATATTTCAATGAATGTTTGCATTAAGTAGACCGAATGTGTTAAAACGTCAAAATAGGCGCATGGAAGCTTCCAATAATTAATCATTTTACTTATTGTAATCCTTTGAAGTTACAAGTTTTTCAGATTTTTTGTGTTTACTAATGTAAAAATTATTAGAGTAGTCAATAATTGTAAATTTCTTGACGGCTTTCGAGAGTCTTGAACTATTTAAAAATAGAGATAAGCTTATGAATTCCCTTTTCTCCTCTCTATTCGTAGTTGAAATTCGGAAAAATTAGTATATAAAGCATTAACATTGTTAAATTAGTTAGTTTTTATTCTCACCTGAAGATGACCACTTTGTGGTTGCAACGCGTTGTGTTTGTAATAAAAGTTTGGTGTGACGGGTTTAGTCGTGTTTTTGTTCATCGTTTCCAAGAGGATCCAATAAGAAATACAAGACAATAAAATTGAATTTTACTTTGAGAGCAATTTAGCGTTGAGGCGTCAGACGAGACGCTAACATGCTCGAAAAGATAATGAAAATGTTATCGTCGTGTACAATATAACATTTTATTCAATCCTCACTAATTTTGTAGTCAATTTGGTCGATATTTATAAATTTCAAAGAAAAATTCAACAATGAAATCTAATGTCAAAGATCGTTAGCAACTAACAACTACAGATATACAATAATGGATGTATTTTTTATCATCTAGATGACACAATTTCATTTTAACATGATGAAAAGAGTAAATAAAATTCAATTTTAACATAGAGGATTGGATAAATAACTTTTTTTGTTGCACATTACAGCTGAATACAAAAAACGTAAAAAAACAGTACTTCTTTTAGGTATAACATTTACAAGACAAAACTAGAAATGTTATTGAATTAAATTACAATGTTTTGCAAAGTTTGTTCTTTAAGCCGAACAAAAATCCGACAAAGATTAATAAAAATATTGCAATGTAAATAATCGCAAAATTTTTGTTATCCTGTAAATTTTGGCGGCAAGTGTAGTTTTTCTGTTTATGATACTTTTTTAAAAATGAAACTTGTTTTTTTTTGTATCAGTTATTAACGTTAAAGCCTAATTTTGTAACAATTAAATAAAAATACAAAAAAATATTGTAGCGTTGAAAAATTACATTCCTTTGCTATTGCAAATGTGGATTTAATAAGCCGTCAAGTACAGGTCATATTAAATGCATGTTTAATTTTGCTATACAAATTTAGAAAATATTGGACAAAAAATCCTGAGAGCCTGAAATCTGAAAAAATTTTTTTAATTAGTTAATAATAAATTGTGTTATGTGATGATAACGATAATGGATGATAAGCAGTCATAATTCATTCATTTTGAATGCAATGAAAATAGTGGGCGAGCACTAAGCCTTTACATTGAGCGGTTTCCGATGAGAAAAGTTCTAAAGCGTTGAAAATTTAACCAATTTGAAGAAAATTTAAGAATATTTCGGGCTTTAAAAAAATCTAAATTTGAGACTCAAAACACAACTCAAAAATTAATTTTCTGCTCAATGGATTTATTGGTATGTTATATTGTATTAAGTCAGTGTAATTTGGTTCTAAAAAAAATGCTCTAAAAAATTTACTGTTTAATAATAACCCTTATTTTTATGCTATTTACTTTTTACGTTACTACAAGGAACATACATTTAGTAGTCTAAACGACTTAAGAAACGTTATAATAAATGAAACAAAGAGGCCAATTTATCTACTTTGTCGGCATTATTTAATACAATTAAAATTGCCAAATTTATATAAACCTAAATTAATTAGTCATTTTCTGTAACCTCCTGCAAGCAATTAGGTTCAATTTAAACTCACTGAAACGTACTTTCTCTTAAGTGTAATTAATGATTAATTTTGCAGAAAAAACACGGTATGAAGATTTACACTCGTTAAAATTAAAGCTTAAAAAGAATTTAAAGAATTGTAGAAACAAATTAGGAGAAAAAAGTACCTTGAATGCAATTTGGGTCAATGATTCTAATTGCAAGTTTTGCATATTTTATAATATAAGTATAACACTAATGTGAATTAATTGTGCAGATTGTGCAAGTAATTTAAGTTACTTTTATCTTTAAATTTATTTTGATTATTGTTAATTTTGAGGAAAGATTTGTTTTCATTTAGACGGTGTGAAATTTATTGAACAATTTAAACTTAATTTTGGTGGATGCGCCGGGAAAATCTTGAAATAATTTAGAAATTTAGGTACCACTTGTTATTTTTTTTTTTTAAATAAATTAGACATTTTTAATATAAGTTAAAAGCTAAGTTTGAGTTTAATGAAAAAGTTTTTATTTTGTAATTTAGTTAAAAGCAGGCATCAAAAAGAATTTATTAAATGCAATGTTGGTGCTAGAGGTAAACTATTGATTTTTATTATTGAGTGTTAAACCAGTGTTTTAAATAATTTGTTTTTAAATTCTAGGTTTAATCAATGTTGTTATTTGCAAAAAGACTGTTTCTGCTTTTTATTTTAAATTGCATTTTTTACATTACATTTTACAAAACATAAACGTGCAAATATGCAATGCCTGGATGATTTTCATTAATTATTATTTAAGTTTGAAGTTTGACTTTATTGTTATTATGAAACGCTCTAGTGTGCAAACTGTTCGCCTCTTGCAAATGAGTGTTTACTTTAAGATTAATAATCTTTAGTTTCTTGTAAACAACTTATAAACAATAATGTAAGCATTAAATTAAACGAAGCGTTTTGAAAGCATTTGACGAAACTTCTCGAAGATAAAAATTTAAGTTGATCTATATGTTTGTAGGATTTTATCGTTTGATAATGAAATGTCAATTTAAAGCGTTTCTAGGTTTTATACAGCTGGTATATGTAGTAAATAAAAAAACGTTTGGAAATTGTCATTTCTTGTGAAAAATGCAAGAGTCATCAAAGAATTTTGTTTGAAAAGAAAAATAAATCTAGAAAAGGGCATCTATTTACAAAAAGAGCTTCTACAATTTATATTTTAAATTCAGATACTTCAAATTGGTTGACTATCAAATGTAAACTGCTTTTGATTTTCAGTAATTAGTAGAGAAAATATTAATCATTAATAAATAAACTTTAAATTAGAGTTGGTTGACTTTTGAATGTGAAATGCTTTAATTTTTAAGAATAAAGTGTATCTTATTAATTTAGTAACTGTTGTAAAGAAACATTCCAAACTAATATAGGTCACTTTAATTTTTAAATGAACAAAAACACGATTAAACTCATCACACTAAACTTTTATTTCAAACACAACGCGTTTCAACCACAAAGTGGTTATCCTCAGATGAGAATAAAAACTTTTGTGAAAAGGGATAAAAAACTTCCAATTCGAAAGGTACCAATTCTTAGTTTGGAGAAAAATATTTTATTTATATCTTGATTAAAAGAAATGTTACAATATTATTGTCAAGTAATTGTAGGTGAGTGATATAAATAGTTTATTATTTTACTTACTATCGTAAAATACTTATAATACTGAGTAACACAATTTATTTTTATTTGATTATTGTTACTCAAAACAAACGTGTAATAATAACGTGTAATAATATTACTATAGCTATCAGTTATTATACAGGGTGAGTCTTAACATGTACTCATAAACTTAGGGAATAATAGTCTATGTCGAGGAATAACTAACAATGCGAAATATTTTGTTTATTTTTAAACTTTTAAATTTTTTAATAATTTGGAATGTTTTTATTTTTCAAATTAATTGGATTATCTGTTTAAATAAAAATAAATGTTTAACTTAATTTTTACTAATTATATTATTGATCATAATCTTTAATTTCATAAGATTGCGTTTATGTATGTTAAAGCTAACTTGAGTTGAGTTGAGCTGAGTTTAATGTTCTAAATATTTAATCTTTTATTAAAATTTTAATTCTAAAAAAATGGATTGTATTTCCAATATAATAGTAATTCCGTATGTGATTTTTGTATTTTTTTATTGTAAAATTATTTGTTTATTATTTATAAAATTTTTAATAGGGGAAAATTCTATCAGTTTCTGTACTTTCAATTACAAAATATACTCTATTGCAAGAAGATACATTTTGTTAATTCTTTCGTTATTTTGCTGAAAATATAAATAAATTATTATTATTAATAAAATTTTTAGGGCAAAGATTTATATCAAACGAAGTGAAAATTCGGGAATGGTGCATTAGTGTTTTATTGTTTTCAAGAATGAAATATATTATATTAAGAGATCACTTTGTTGCCCACTTTTTTCAAATTTGTGGCTTTTTTAAGTTAAACAACCAAATGTATGGATTATTTACTCCATCAGAAAAAAATCAAATTAAGTGCAAAGGCAAAATTTGAGAAATTGAAGAAAAAATTGTGCTTAGTTGTGTTTCTAGCAAATTAGATACACGTGAAAAAATGTTATTTTAGGACATTTCATTTCCATGAGAGTTTTTTTTTACTCTGAGACAAAAAAGATCGTTTTATAAAAATATTTAGAAAAGATTTTTTTTACGAAATAAGTTTGTAACATCGTATCAAGAATAATTTACATATCTTATAATTTAAGCAAAATATTTCTAAACAGCTGCCACAACACTAAACTTTTTTTATTTTTTCAGAAATAAAACTTTTTCAACCTTTCGTGGCGCCGACATCGAGGAGGAGGCCCCAGCCGATGCCCCCTGGCTTAAAGACATGTCAAGCGTCAAAACCTCTTCTGAGGCTACTACTCCCAAGTTCATATCGATTCATCTCAATGCCACGACTCCACCTCATACACTCGGCAAATTCTGGCAGTATTTCGAATGTTTAGCCAAGAGGACTTTCGACGACAGCAAACGTCTCTCGGCTTATTATTCTTCCCCCGTGAAAGAACCCAGCATTTTTATGGAACTCAAAACCAGCCCTAAGAAGAATCAAGGTCGATGCACCAGTCCTTGCGAAATTAGTAACAGCAGTCTCAAGGATGTTGAAAACGGGGCCATCGAAGATGAATTAACCACTTACATGAAAGAAGTGAAGCGGAGAGAGATTTACAGCTAGCAGGAGTTGTACTTTGATAAAAAGTTGGCGAAAGGAGATTTGTGATTTTTTTGGAAAAATTCTTAATGTTTTGTAGGTGTTTTAATGTGATGAGTGTATTAGACGACACAAGGAGCCCATTTGTTTTCAAATATAGTTGCTGGTTCACCTACTTTCAGTTGACTTTTTCCAATATACTACATTCTTGCCACATTTTTGGTGCTCATGTTATTCTAGTCAATATTGTTACTTGCGCTAAAATGTAGGTTAAAAGTTGTTGAGTCTGTAAATAAATGTAGTTAGAGTGTTACTTTTGTTGTTGAGATAATAAAAAACGAGTTTTTTTATTTGTATGATACGTATTTTAATGTGATAAATAATTATATTTGTACAATTGTATACTTTAATAAAGTGTTGACTACAAAGTTGATTTATTTATTTGTTTTACATTTGCGTTTGTGACTATTAATTAACTAATTTTCTGATAACTGATAAAATACGTCTATTTTTGCTTGAATTTTATGATTTTGACTTACCAAACTAGTCTATGAGAGATTTTATGAAAGCGACCAGCTGAAAACAAACTTTGCAATTGAGCGGTTAGAATTTCTTTACCGCTAAAGACCCAAAAAGTTAATTGCCTCTATTGCATCATATAATTCAAGCAAATATAGACAGACTTTAATACTAATGTATTCTTTAATAGTATTAAAGTCGTTTCAAAATTATATTATATATTTCGTTATATTTAATAAGAGTTGAGTTTGACAAAATCAAATAAATTTTTACAGACTGAGTTTGAAAGCTTTTGCCTTTACGATGATATTATATTTCACAGATTTTACAGCTCAATAAATTCAGTTAAAAATATCGGTTCTTGTAAAGATAAAATTTAAGATTATTTTTTATACAACTTTTGTATAAAATTTACGTTAAAGTTACGAATACCTAAAGACTAGGATACAATACGATGTAAAACAAAACATCTCGGTTCTCGATAGTTCAGTTAGTGAGGGATAGCTCAGGTAATCTTTTCCCGTTTAAGTTTTAAGAGCAATGAAATAAAAAAATAGCTGTATTTATATAACGGTGAGCAAAACGCAAAAAAAAATATAGACAGATAGAGCATTTAATTCTCAATAATAAGAGATAAAGGTAAGGCAAAAATTTTATTGAAAACTATATTTAAAAACATTTGGAAATTATCATATTTTTGAGAACGCTGAAAATACAGTTAAAGATACAAAAAAGTGTAAGAAATAAAATTGTAGAAAATAAAATTTGTTACAAAAATATCCTCGAGACCATATTTCGATTTTCAACGGTTTAAGTTTAAATTGCTTTAAAGTGTTTCTCTGGCACTGAATCACGTAAAAATGAAACGAATCCGTCACTTGAGCGGCTTTGAACGTCTTTGAGACGTAAACCACTAAAGATAGAGGTGTGGTGACGCGGACTTTTTACTAGAAAATTGTTTTTCTACATCTTTCTTTCTTACATTTTTCTTCAACCGTATTCGCAAACATGAAACAGAGCACAGATTTAATTTTTTTTTCTCTTCTTTCTTGTGAAAAATGTAGTCGTTCGTTTTTCACAGCTTATTAAGAATGTAAAGCTCAACATTTCTGCATTTTTTTCCAAGCAATTAGTACACTCGTTGAATTTAAATGAATTTAAAACGACTTGAAACTGAGACGGTAAAACGCTCTAAGCGTTTTTTTACTCGCCGTACTACTTTTTTGGGTCCAAAAAACGAGCAATTTTAGAACATTGAATCAAAGTTTACTGCGTATTTTGATTCTTTATCAAATTAGTAATCTAGACTAGGTTTAGAGTTGCTCAACCAATTAACTCAAACTCATTTTGTAAAAAACATTCTGTAAAATGTTTATAGTTAAAAAGAATAAGATACATACATTTTTAAATCTTAAATTCCGAATAACTCTTAAGCAAGAAAATGGTAGAAATATAACAAATAAAACAACAGGTGCGAGATGCTGTTCTAAAACTTCAACTCATTTTTTTTAAACTTCACGTTTATTTGATGTTTGGAACAATTAGACAACAGCTAAGCTTTTTGACACCTTTTACAGACATCGGCAACATAATTAATTATTAATTTAAAATGACATTAATTTTAGATATAAGTAGTATTTTAGTCAATCGTAACAAAGTTTAGCTTCCAAATACTTCGATTTCTACTTGTTATTCCTTTTAGTGAAAAGCTGAACTTTAAGAAAATTTAGTTTGTTGAAGAGGAAAACTGGAAATTCAAGTGGAAACGGTTTAGTAACTGTTCATCAGATGGCAGCACTAGTTAAAATAAAGACAAATAGAACTTTTTAGCTCAACAGGTGGATAATTTATAAGCTTTCAAGAAAATACTTTTAATTCAGTTAAAAGTGATTTAACCTTTGACACTATTCTTTGAGTAATTCTTTATTGCTTGTTTACTACTCTGTTCTACTATGTTCAAAACAGGTGGTAGAATATTTAATTTTAAGATAAAATTTTCCATAAACATGTATCGAAAAATACTGTTTTAGGGAGCTACACCTCTAAATGGGTGCATTTTTTAATGGATTTGTCTCAATATTTCAATAACTATTTTAGATAAAATTACAAAATTTGGTTTAACTGATAATCTTTATAAACCTAAACGAATTCAAAGATCAAATAATGTCGAAACTTTTAATCAGAGGCGTCCTAAAGTGGGGGGTATAGGGTAAAAAGTACTTTAACTATTTTGTGTGTAGTTTGTTGCCACTTTCAGCAACAAAATTCTAAATTACATCGTTTCTCACAAAAAAGAAGTTTCTTGCGTTGTTATGATACAATTTAAGATTTTTGAGAAAAGTCAATTTAAAAATTATGTTACATATAAACAAAATATAAATAAAAAAAATTATTCAATTCCTTTCTATTTTAGTCCTAGGTACAGGTTCTTAGCTGTAAGAAATTTGTCATTTTATCTACAGTATGTCCCCGGATTGGGCTTACAAGACGATATTTTTTTTTATCTTTCATTTTACGCTAAAACTGCAAAAGAAAAACATTTCTTGCTTCACCTGAAACGAGCAAATCTGTAATTAAAACTTCACTATTCTGATTCAGTGAAAAGAAAAGTTATTTTCTGTTGATTTTGGAGAATAATTTTTCTCTGCTTTTTAAATCCCATCACACTGACGGTTTTATTTTTTTGACAGTGATGTATGTCACTGAGTTTTTGCAAGTTAAATAAATAACAAAAATGTTTGTGAAGAACATAATTTTGATAAATAGCAACTCAAAGAAAAAGCTTTAAGATGAAAATCAAAGTCATTTTCAAACAAGAACTATCATTATTTAATTAATAAATTAATTGTCAAAGTGACATATAGTTGTTAAATAAATAAAACCGCCAATGTCATAGGACTTAAAAAGGAGAGAAAAATTATTTTAAGACTAAAATTAAGAAAAAAAATAAGTTTTTTTCTCAGTGAATCAGAATAATGAAGTTTTAATTACAGATTTGTTCGTTTCAGGTGAAACAAAAAATGTTTTTTTTTGCAAAATAAAAGATAAAAAAAATCTACTTGTTAACTGAATCCGGGGACATACTGTATAAAATATTGGGAAAAACTCACTGAAAACCTTTTCAAGGGGTGTATTTTTTTATATAGAATTTTTCGACACATGCTTGAATATTCACCTATTTAAATTTGTAACAATAACTCTTCTAGATTGTTTCAATTTCATTACTTACTCTTATTAAATTTTGTAAATTTTATGCAAAGCTTATTAATGAGTTGTTTAAGTGAACTCTACACTTTTATCTCAAGTAATTAATGACAAGATTATTGATGAATTGGTTTAATTAAATGAGAATTTTCCTGACAACAGTAATATATTTATGTAACAACAATTACAGGTACAAACCGGAAATAATTACATTTACAAAAGTGTTAATTAGAAAAATGTACAAATAACAACAAACAACAAGATGTTGCAAAACAGTCAAATAATAATATAAAATCTAATTTTACGTACAATTACTACTTGCACAGCCTTTTTCTAAAAAAATAACATAGTAAAATACAGTAGACTCTAGTTATATTACGATCCTGATTAAACACAACCATAGTTTCAGGTACATACATTTAGATAAATTGACAAAATTTAAGAAAATATGAGATGATAAGAAACTAACTGCATATTAGACAAAAAGCATTCTCATATGTATGAAACTGTAAATACAAAAAACAGTTGGATCACCGTAGAAGAATTGCATGCGTTGTTTAGTGTTTGTTGTTACATACAAATTTAAGTAAAAATAAAAAAAAAGACACGCATATTGAGCACTTCAGACAAAACGAATTAAGTTTGTAGGTCCCTTGAGGTTCGTTATAAGCGGAGTCTACTGTACGCATTTATTTAATTAACCGAGACTGCAAAATTGTTTCTATACAAAAACTGTTCACTTTTTTCGTCATTATTTCTCAAAGAGTCAAAAATTTTGTTTCTCATTTCTGGCATTGTGCACGACTTTGTTATAAGCCTATTTTCCCGGTTTCTTTCTTCACAGTTTAAACTCCCACTTCTTGTTTTATTTCTCTTTTCATTTTCGTTGAATTCTTCTAATTTCATCACACTCAAAGGACAGATATGTGTCGGCTGAAGACTGTGTACTTCCACGATTGGAATACTCTTCTCTTCGTTGTTCAAAGTGGTGAGTGTTTGTTGCAATTCGGTGTCAAAAATTGAGACTTGTTTTGGTCGACGCAATGTTGGTGGTTTTTTCCTTCGGAAGGAAACAACCAGTGGCCTTCTAGAGTCGTGTAGACGTGCCATTTCAACATCGAGGTATCGAAGTGAGCTCTGGCGGCTGTAAGAATCTGTGTTGCTATGACTGTTTACTTGCGATGATCGACCGGATAATGTCGAGTAACACCTACCTCCGGGGGTACGGTGGCCTCGACGGAAGCACTGCTTGTAGGTGGCCTGAAAAAAGAACCTTTTAGAAAAAAAATAAGTAAAAAAACAACGTGTAGGTTTATACTGAAGTCGGAAAGTTAAACATGCGACTTTGCAAAGAACCAAGATCTACTGGGTGAGTCATTAGTTCGGTGTCAAAAGAAAATGACTATGATGACAAGTAAAAATAATTTTTGCCTTTTTATGTTCATACAAAGTTAGTCAAAAATTTGAAATTAAATTCATGTTTTTTGGCGGTTCATTTATGAAAAAATAACTGTCTAATTGTCTTTGTTTTTTTAAGATCAACTTTGATCTCAAATTTATTTGATCATAAAATATTATACAGTATGTCTCCGGATTGGGTTTACAAGAGGAAAAAAAATTTCATCCTTGATTTTACGCCAAAACTGCAAAGGGAAAACATTTTTTGCTTTACCTGAACCCAGACAATCTGTAATTAAAACTTCATTATTCTAACTCATTAGAAAAAAAGTTCATTTTTCTCTTGATTTTGGATTCTGCTTTTGAAATCCCATCACATTGGCGGTTTTATTTTTTTGACAATAATGTCACTTTCATAAATGAGTTTTCGCAAAGTTAAATAACAGAAGTGTTTATGAAAAACATAATTTTGATAAATAGCAATTCAAAGAAACAGCTTTAAGATAAAAAACATAGTGATTTTTAACAAGAACTATCATTATTTAATTAATAAATTAATTGTTAAAGTGACATTTAGTTGTCAAATAAATAAAACCGCCAATGTGATAAGTCCAACATCATAGAGCAAGAGCCCGCGGTCGCCAGAATCCGTCATTTTATAAAAGTTGAAAATTTGTCATCGCATACTACCAACACAGGAAGGAACCATATGCAAGTATGAAGTTTGAGTCATCGTGGTTTTGGGTGATAACAGGTAGCAAAGAAGTAAAAAATACCAACTTAAATTTATTGAATAAAAAAGCGTAATTTTTTTATATTTTCTTCGGAATAATATTAGAACTCACCTCATCCATTGCCAGACACTTAATATAGTGGCAACCCCTTGTTAGACACTCTTAAACTTTAATAAATTGTTTTGGCGTAAAATCAAAGATAAAAAAAATCCTCTTGTAAACTCAATCCGGAGACATACTGTATAGTGTGTCCCAGGTAGGTGAAACGACTTTTGTAAAAGATAAATAAATTTTGATTTAAATTCTTATTTTTGGGGTTTAGGCATGCGAAATTAAAGACTAGTTTTTGAAATAATTTTAGTTTTTTGTCATGAAAATTTTCAAAAAAACTATTCTTTTGTAGAGTAAAGTGCTTATATTTGGCAAATACGTCAAAAATTTCTTTAGAACCAACAACTAGGCCCCTATACCAAATTTCAAAATCATCGGTCAACTATGACTTTTATTTTTTTATGTTTATTAATTTAAAATCAATTTATTTTTCAGATTTTTTGTTAAGAATTAAAAAGTTAGATTTAGAATATTAGTCGTAAATTCATTTTTGACGTTTCTGTTAATAAAAAGGAATTATCTTAAAACAAAATCATAGTTAACCAATGATTTTGAAATTTGGTGTAGGGTGATTTTAAACCACTTTTTTAATAACTTTTTGTCGTATTGGACACATAAATGGCACTTTATCCTACAAAAAAAAATATTTTTTTTCAATTTTCAAAACATACATGATTTTTCAAAATTAATATTATGTTAGAAATTAGTCTTTAACCATGCAGGATTAAATCTCAAAAACAAAAATTGAAATCAAATTTGTTACAAGAGTCGTTTCATCTATCCGGGAACACACTGTATATTAGAAAATTATTGCATGTTTATTTAACAAAAAGTAACTACAAAAACTCTATACAACATTTTTTACTTTTTACAGTTTTATCTTGAAGATTTTAAATAGGCAAAACTACTGTTTACTCACTGCAAATAAAAAGTTATCTTGCTAAGAGGAACATGCTAGATAAAATGTTGTATGGCCCTCGTGGGTTCTTACATTTAACTCGACTACATCTTGTAAACTTTTTCTTTTGCTTAAATTACTTGTATCATGAATAAATACAATATAGCTTACCATAAATACAACATTGTTACTAATAAAGGCAAAGCAGTTTTATTATAGAGTTGTTAAAGTTAAAGTAGATAAAGTAGTAACTATAAAAATGCTTTTACACGTATTGTGTCTTGAAATGTAATCTTTTTAAAATACTTTTGAGGTGAAATACTTTCTAAATTAAAAAATCTCTCCATTTTACAATAACGTTTCTTAAAATTAAAACAAGTACATTTTTATGTTTCGTTTGCGTTAGACTATCGTTTTTAAGTGAGAAATTGTTGAAGTTCAACGTATTTCACCGAAACTAATGCAATTTCAGCTATTTTTAAGTGTCAAAAATTCTAACTGTCAAATTAATATAATAATAAATTCAATTTAAAAAGCACTCAATAGAAAAAATTGTATAAAAAACGCGTGTTACAATCTCTCATTGTGATACTAGTGGTTTTCTAACACTCGTATCACAATGAGAGTGTTGTAACATTTGTATACTATTGAATTTTGAATTTTGTGAAATAGTTCTGACCAGAAAGTAAATATATTTTTTTTAAATACAAACATTGTATTTATTGATGGCATTGGTGTTAAAATAATAAACAAAATACAAATTAATTAACTAGTCTGTGCTTTAAAATGCTCGTTTAAAATTAAATAATTTTTTTTAGATTTGTAAAAATAAATTACTCACTGCATTATTGATCACAAATTTTTACAGCATAACAAAAAAATAAAAAATTGAAACGAGTAATTTGCTTCGAGCGATCATTATTTCCTGAACAGATTGTATCCTGTCGAACACAATCTCTACTAGTTGTATAGAATGTTACGAAAAGAAAAAAAATTTACATGACACTGAGTAATCATTAGCGTACAGTCCATTGGGAAAATGTCACACGTTTTCCACCCACACTTTCAACATTTTATTATTAAAACGAAACAAGATAAACAAGAAGTTTTATTATAAAAGCTTCCACATTTCTATACAAGTAATTGAGCAATAAATTTTCTATTGACTTAAATTATCATAATTAATTTGCTTTCAAAAACCACCAGTAAACATTAATACAAGTAATTAATGCTGCAATTCTACTTCTAATTAAAATTTTAGTGAAGTTTTTATTTACTTAAAGAAAGATCAATTCAAAAAGGCGAGGGCGAAGATACCTAAGACTTTACGTCATAAAAAAATTAAAACAAAATAACTGTTTGTACTTTAAACCATTACCCCCATTAGCAGAATACATGTAATAATGGGTGGTATACAAAAATTTTTCTAGTACTAATTTAAATTTGTTGCAACTGTTAGGCTAGTATTTAAAATGGACAATTTTTACGAAAATACAAGAATTTTTAACGAAAAGTGCTTTCAATTAGTATTGCAGCGACCAGTGAGAAAATTTTTGATTACTTTATCGATTAGTGTACGGTTACGGTAATTATATTTTATAAAAATTACTGGATAAATAGTTTGTAATTACTTCTTACAGAAATTACATTTCGAGCACTCCTCGTGTAGATCTTTTTTCTATTTTGTCCATAACAACTTAATAGCTTATTTCAGACTATAATTTATGAGAGACTGCCTAAGGCCAATCATAATTATCTTTTCCGCCCTTATGCTAATAACCCAATTTTGTACGTTCTAAAAAGCAAACATATTTTTAGAATATCTACAACTGCAAAACCGTGAAAGTTTATTGGATCCAAAATGAGGTTAAATTTAGAAACACATTTTATTATTCAAATCAGTACTTTATATTCATTTCTCTTTATGTAAAATAAACAACACGATTGATGTTTAATCATCCCACATCAGCGCGTTTATATAAATCATGAGTTCGTTGCTCTCAAGGAAGAACCCATAGTCGTGTAAAATCAAATTATGAGTTGTTTTGTCCAGTTTGGAAAATTCCCCACGTTCTTACCTTAAAAGCTTCCCGGAATTTGTGGGACATTATGTGATAGAGAAGAGGGTTGACGGTCGTTGATAGATAGAAAAATATTCCGCTGACGTAGGTCAGGATTTGAAAGGCTCGGATCATTCCTGCTGAAGTTTGTTCGCCGTAGATGGCCAGCAGGCGTTGAGCGTGAAAAGGTGCCCAACAGATGAAGAATGCCACCACGACAGCCACTAAACAAACACTTTTTTTTAATATTTTGTCTGGACAAATGTGTAATGGTTTGGTTGATTAGGTACGTTTGGAGCGCAATGGTCGGTAATAATTTATGCACAAGTGGAAATTACGGGACAGTGGGTAATTAATAGAAGTTGTAAAGTGGAATGTGACAAACATATTTTAGAACTGTGTAAATTACAAACCGATAAACAACTTAATTGCAGCTTTATTGGTATTAAAATTGTACATTTTGGTGGATGCGCCGGGATATTTGTATTTGGTAAATGGTGTTTTACATTTATTCTACTTTGTGTTATTTCTGAATCATATATTTTTTGTAACTATTTATTTTATTAATTATTTTAATTGTCCCAATAATTATCTGGTGTCTGTTTAAAGATTTCTTTCTGAACTAATTTTTTATTATTTAAGTCGAAAAAAATTGTCATGCCTTATCACATAACTATTTTCGTCAGCAAATAAAACGTTTTTTTACTCTGCTTTTAGAAAATTTGAAAAATTTTTGTTGTTGTATATGTATTTAATTAAACACTTTGTCGGTTATTATTAATTAAAAAAAACAATATGTACAGGGTGCTGCATTTTGGAAGTCCGAATAGGGAATCTCCAAAACTAAGAGGTTTAGCCAAAAACGAGTGATACATTTTGTTTTCGACTTACAGACAAAAGTTAACATTTTGGCGAAATCTAAAAAAAATTATATCTTCGTTATTATAGAAGATACAGATTTGAAATAAAGACATTGTACAGGCATTTTTTACGAGGAATTTAGTAATGTAATTAACAATTTTTTTCAGTTATTAGTTTAGTTGTAATAAGATAAACTTGTATTTTTTTAAATGGAAATCATAGGCGGCTATGGCAATTTTGACAAACCTATTTTTTTTTGATCTAAAAAATATATATTTGTTACATAATATTTTTTTATAACTATACTTAAAAAGTGAAATACATATTTTGTGTGATAATATTTGGCCATGGAAAAACTATTTCACTCCAAATGTGTAAATAATAATTAATAAGAGTTTTGTGAACTGTAAAATAGATGAAAAAATAGATAAAATTATAAAGATTTAAAAAATACGATACGGTAGAAGCACTGAACAAATATCCAAGCGCCTCAGAACAAAGTTATTACATATTTTTAATAAATCCAAAAATAGGAAAAACAAATGTGTCAACAGTCAACACAACTAGAAAAAAACATTTTTTTGATGATATAATGAAGGTAGGATAACGTTTCACATAGACGTAATTTGGGTATTTGAATAGCCATATCGTCATTTTCGTGTCATATAAAATATATTTTATTGAAGGATTAAGGCGGCTTTTTTTCTACAACACTCTATGTATCACTAGAAGTTGCAATGGTAATGTTTGCTTGTTTAAAAACAAAGAAATATTATTAGTCGCCAATAAATTGATTTACGATTTATTTTGCATTTTTTTCATTACTTAGTACTTAGAAAACTCTTTCGTTAGTGATACTGGTTGAATATAATATAGTTTAAATCCTTTTAATTGAAGATGCAACATTTTTTCATGGCCAACTGCGAACAAAAATCAAAGATAATTTTTTGCTAAAAATGTATTATAATAATTTGTTACAAATATATATTTTTTAGATAAGAAAAAAACAAGCTTCTTAAAAATGACATAGCCATCTATGATTCCCATTTAAAAAAATACAAGTTTATTTTTTTACGGCTAAACAAACAAGTGAAAAAAATTGTTAACTACATTATTAAATTCTCCGTAAAAAAGTGCATGTATAATGTCTTTATTTCAAATCTGTGTCTTCTATAATAACTAAGATACGAATTTTTTTAGATTTCGCTAAAATGTCAATTTTTGTCTATAAATCGAAAACAATAGACGATAGCGGGATGCGATTTAAACCAATATTATTTTCTCAAAAAATGAGCCCCAGAATGTATTACTCGTTTTTGGGTAAACATCTTAGATTCGGAGATTCTCTATTCGGACATCCAAAATGCAGCACCCTGTACATATTTAGAAAACTTTAAATTTTCCAAAGCTTTTTTCTAAACCTTAGCTAATCAAAAAAATGAAGTTTTAAAATAAATTTTGCATGTCTTAGAAAACAAAAGTAAGTGGAAGCTACTTATTTGTTGTTACTCAACATTAATAACCTGTGTGTAATAGTTTGTACAAGTACATATATCAATGCTTTGACAATGTCTTTAATAAAAGATTTAAATATTTGTTAAAAAAAATACAAAATAAATTTAAAAATTATTAGGAGTTAAAAGAGTCAAAATAAGTCACCTTGTCTTACTTGCAAGTTAATGATTGTTAACGTAAAGAGACCAACAACAATTGTAATTAAACATCATCTTTGGCTTTAGCCGAGGAGTCGTTAACTTGAAAAAAATTTGTACAACTCAATTTCAATTTTAAAAGATATTAACCAAAAATTTCAGTAATTCCCAAAAAATTCCACCGAAATTCCATTAATTGCAATAATCTATCGTAATTTCATTGTTTGCAGATTAATTTATGTAATTCTAAAATATATTATGTAATTAACTTAAACTTAATTTTTTCCAAAATAATTTCTATAATTCCAAATTAACTTCGATAATTTTAAGAAATTCAACGTAATTTTTAAAAATCTCCTACAATTTAAAAAGACTTCCTATAATTCTAAATTAATTCCTGTAATTCAAAATTAATTCTAAGAAATTAAATGTAATTTTCAAAAGAAGTTATTTCCAATACTTCAAAAAAAAACAATATTTCCAAACAATTTAAAGATAATTTTAGTAATTCCAAATACCTGCTCCAAAATAATTTCAAGCAATTTCAACGTTAACATCCCTTTGACTATACCTTTTCAAAATCCACTACTAGACAAAGAAAATGAGTTTAACCGATTTTTTTTACGATTATTTACTTATTAAAAATGTTTGTTAGAAGCAATAAATATAATAAAAACTTGTTACAATAAAAATTGAAAATTGTTTTGCAGTTGGTAATAAGTTGGTTTTACTGAATAGTGTATACATATTTTGAGATTTTCTGTTTACATATAATTATAGTTTTCTCTTTTATAAACAATTTGAACACGTCCATTTAATATAACATAAAATTTACTCGATTACAAATAAATAATTCTTTTAATATTTATTAATACTTTAATAGTCATGTTTTTAATAACAAATGTTTTATATTCATATAAAATGTTACACAATATACAAGGTGATTCACGAGGAATAATGAGCTTGACCAAATTCTCGATGCAACCACCATTACTCTTTGCAAGTTATTTTGCGACAACTGTAATGTTGGTTGCATCGAAAATTTGGTCAGGCTCATTATTCCTCGTGAATCATCCTGTATAGTAAATAGCATCATAAAAATGAACAGTGGATGATATTAAAATGTTAACTAATTGTGTCGCTTTATACTAGTAAATTGAGCGTATACAGTACAAATTTAGAAGTGTTTTAATTCAAAATATTTATTTGCTTTTTAATGAAGCAACTTTATTTTTTTGAGATTTTGGACACAACTGTATTAGTTTTGCTACATCTGTTTTTTTATACAGTTTTAAATTTTAATTAAATATAGCATAAAACGTTTTAAAGCTTCACACAACTTACAGTTTACAAATAAAAACAATTTTTTAGTTTTGAAAGAAATAACTTTTTTTTATTTATAACTCTTTAGTATAAAATTATTATTTTCAGGCAACTTTTACAGATTTTGTAACAAAAAACACAAAAAACAGGTAGTTTGCTTGTAAACTGCGTCTTTACTTTGTTTTGACCGACGTCTTAATTTGTTTTCCTATTCTGTTATATAGTTTTTCTATATCGACAAACCAAACTTTTGGCCCTGAACTTCTCTAATAACGAATGAAAATTGGTATTTTGTGCAATGCCAACAATGCTAAACGTCGTTACAACGGTGCCAACAATTATAAGCTCAACTGTTATTTTCATTGTTTATAGTTTTCCAATGTTCGACACAAACACCAACTGGTGTCAAAGCGTTTGAACTTTGTTCCTAGTTGAGATTTTTCTTCCAGAATTTCGGTTAACTATTCTCAAAAGTGTTTCACTGAATTCTTGCGGTTTTGGATCAAACCGTCATTAACCTTGTCTATTGCTTTCCAGTACGACTGTTGAAAGCTCGATTTAATCTATTGTAAGGAGGAAATTCCGAGGAATCGATTTGTACTATCTTAGAAAATAAATAAAACAAATTTCGTTTTTCTTTGCTATGCAATAAACTGCAGGATCTAGTTTACATAAAAACACTATTCATTTCAAATGAAAATTTAATATTTTGATTTGGACACAAATTCCATTTTCTGAAGCAATTTGCTTAGTGGAAACCTTCATCGAGTTAGAAAGGTTTTGGTTGACTCAATAACAAGCCGGGATTCATTTTTAGTATTCATATATCAATGGGATTGTACAATCTTGGATTTCGTCGAGCAATAAATAACAAATTTAGGCTTTATTTTCACATAATGGAGAAAGGAGGAATTGGACAATTACCGATTTGTCACCCATAATGGATCTGACGAGGATGAAAAAATGACATGTGACTGAAAATCCTTTTTATTAATTATGTTGACAAGTGGGTCGTAGAGGATAATAAATCACAAATCGGGAAATGGTGTTGTGATACTAGACACCAAATTCATTACGAAAGCTGATCCTTTGAGAAGTTTTTGCGAATATTGATTTGTTGTTGTTGTTTTTTGTTACTTATCTAATTTCTGTAAACTTTGTCATTTATTTGTGCTTTAATTAAGAAATATTACTGTGAAACAATCATTACTGCCAGTCCAAGTCATTACTCAATTTTTTTATTATATCTGTAATATTATGACTATGAGCTTATGCATGAACGTGAAAAATGTATTGTTAAACGGAAGTAAAACAAATAAAATATTGAGAAATAAATTTAGATCAAGTAAAATATTTCAAATATCTACTCAAGAAGTACAATAATAATC